TGGCTAGCCGCATGGGTTCAAACCCCGTCAGGGGCAAGTCGTCGTTTCCTTGAGCAAGAAACTTTACACTCATTGCTCAGTACTGGTTGGTTCCACGAACATATTCGAAAGTGTGTCTATATAATAAGCTTATAGCTTCCTTCACAATCAAACTAAAATAAATTCTGTATGAACCAACTACAAAATCTCAAACAGTTTAACATAAAAACTTACCTTAGGGGAGGGAACAACTGAGAAAGATAGCATGATTCTGTCGGGATATTCTTCACGAATCTTGTTAATAAGAAGAGTTCCCATACCAGAGCCAGTACCACCACCAAGAGAGTGAACGAGTTGGAATCCTTGAAGGCAATCACAGCTTTCTGCTTCTTTCCGTACTACATCCATGACCGAGTCAACCAGCTCAGCTCCCTCTGTGTAGTGACCTTTAGCCCAGTTGTTTCCAGCACCACTCTGTCCAAAAACAAAGTTGTCGGGTCTGAAGACCTGACCAAATGGTCCAGACCTCACGGAGTCCATGGTTCCAGGCTCAAGATCAACCAAAACTGCACGGGGTACATATTTACCACCTGAAAAATTATTTGCATGAATTTTCAACTGACTGCATTGTAACAATTAATTTAAGATGATAAGACAGTTTCTATGAACAATGTAAGACTTAAATGAAGGTCATGGGAAAACAAAAATAAATGACATTCAATTTATTCTAGATAACCGTAAATTGAAATTTTGCAGGCCTCATCACCATAAGGCCTGACTTCACAATAAATCATTGCCAGGGCTCGACACTAACTTTTTTATATGGGTAGTCAGAAGGACTATCTACTTTGAGGATCAGGTAGTCCTTGGCAAATCTTGGTAGTCCACATTGTAAAACATAAAAAAATGTTTCTCATTCTATTTCAATGCATTTTGAGTGTATGTATCTGAAGATAAGAAAACAATAACATCAGATCTCTTAAAATTTATTGAAAAAATCACCAATAGTCATTTGGTTTTGAAAGGCCAGACATTAACTACAGGCACAGGGTTCTAGAGGCGTGTTGCAAATTTTTTTTTAAAAAATTGCTAGGCAATCAGCTCAGCTTATAATATTGACAGCTTATAGGGAAGGGGTGAATATAATACATATTGGCAATATGAGCTTAATAAGTATCTGCCAGTTTTAAATTTATGCAATACCTGGCTTTTGTATTAATAATTTTTTGAGGAAAATAGGTAGCCTCGGGCTAACGGACCATCGTTAGTGTCAAGCCCTGATTGCATCAGATCTGTGATACAAGTTGTGTGCTTAATTGTTGAATTAGTGTAAAAATCGGCCCTACTTTGAAAATAAAATATTCCTTTATATGGAGTTAAACGTATTTCAAAATAATACAATGTGCAAAATTGAGCTAACAACAGCGTCACTGCAAAGCCTGGACAAACTGCACAGATGTTCAGACTGGACTGGTTCTTTACTGGTGCCAAAACTATATAATTCCTTTCTATTTAAAGATCCTATATGTTGTAATTAAGATTGTTACCACACTTAATTGAAATTTGATATGTATATAATTTTGCATCTAAAACTATTTTCAAACATCGAAGAATATGTAAAATATGTACTGAAAATATTTGTCCACATTATATGTAATCATTAAACTACTTATTGAAAAAATTTGACTTATACTTTATAGAAAATAAATTTCTAATTACCTCCCTTTATCAACATGAAATGTAAATTTGGTAATATCTTTACAAATAATGCTTTTTGGAACTTACAATATTGATAAATCTTCATTTGAGCATTATATTTATGATATAAAACCTGAAAAAATGGAGTTACATGATCGTTTAGCAAATTATTAAAGGGTAAATGACTGAATCACATGACATGATGAGTACATGTATATTATATACTGCTTTCCTAAACAATGTAGAGAGATTTACCCCCCTTTGATACCAATACAGTATTATAATAACCTCAGAAATATTAAGTTCATATACATTAACTTTAAGGTGCAACATATTTTCTATGAGTCAATGTAAACACTTATGTTATATGTATGTAACATATTGCAGACTTGCGAGTCACAACTATCCTGTAAAGATCATAGCTCTAGCTATTGTTGAATCTGTGGATACACCAGGTCCTCTGTGAATATTACTTTAACTGACGCTGCCCTGTTGCCCTGTGCTAGCAGATGTATTTAACTGGGTTTAAACAGGGTATGATGAAGTTAAATGTTAATAAATTTATTAACTTAGTTTTGTTGTAGCCAAAAAAAAAAACACCAAAAAAACAATTTATCAATAAATACAATGGACAATTACAAATACAAATGTAACTCAAAAATCAACAAAAAAAAATATTCTTAAGCAAAACATTTCCTCTTTATGTAGTAGAACCATCAATAAAGTTTCAAAATACCCACTCCTATTATTGGGGTTTGCCTTGTGATAAATTTTGATGAAGTTTTAAAATACCCACTCTAATTTTCAAGTTTTGCTCTGAGATAAATTAAGTTCAAAATGCAATATATCAAATATTATGTAGAAGATGGTTACAATTCACAAACATTGCATTTAATAACAATAAGGTATCTATCTATCCGCCTTGGACATTTCAAGATGATACTTCCTTAATTTCCATAAGAATGTCGCAAGATTAGATTTTGAAGTAATAAATGACCGTTCTTTGTTTTACAGGATCAACCAAATACCATAGCTTGACTATGTTGAATTACCCTGAACCTTGCATTCATGCAAGACAAGATGATTTTAAGGTCAAGATCAAGGTCTTATTCCTTTACCTGCTGGTGACGATTGAATCTACCCGTGCAACCAGTGCAGACCATGCAAAGTTCACTCTGTATCAAGTCATATTAATATTAACATATTTTGAAATTTTCCCAATTTTGTCCCAATTAACAGAAGAAGTTCATTCAAGATATTTAACATGGGAAGGGTTAAAGGTGGTAAATGATGTGGAACTAACTAAATTAAGTAACTAACCAGAAGCTTCAGTATAGTAGACGTTGATTCTCTCAAGTTGAAGGTCAGAATCCCCGTGGTATGTACCAGTGGGGTCAATTCCATGTTCATCTGAGATCACTTCCCAGAACTATTTAGATATAATTAGTAAACAGAACAAGGTTATTTTAAATTGTGCTTCATTACCTGTCACTTCACAGCTTTAAACCTGGACTGGTTCAAGACTGAAGTAAGACCAATATCGTACTCCTCTGGGATCCCCTCTCCAGTGCTGAAACATAAAGTAGTGATTAGTCAGGTGGGCCTCCAGAGAATTTGTTGATAATAATAAGGATCAAAGACTGGGTTAATACATCTGTAGACTTGAAGATCTAAAATTAACCATGATATATATATAATAATGCAGTCATGACATTTTGGCCACTAGTCAAAATATATTGACGTGCCAAAGCTTGATTCTGAGATATTTTCGTTCTGGGGCAGAATCTCGCTTATAGACTAGAGGCGAGATATTGCCCAGACACGAAAATAGCACAGTATCTTGTTGCCAGTACAATTAGTTGGACTAATTGGAAACTAATCACATGTATGGTTCCAAAACATTAGTCTTTACCAAGACATACGGGTTGCCCTTGATCACAGGTACTTGAAACAAACTATTTTTAATGTTCTAGTACATTCTATATAGCCCATTTAGAACATTAAAAATAGTTTGGTTCAAGTACCTGTGCCTTTGATCAAACAATACTCGTTGTGTAAAAAGATATAACCAAGCAACACATGATATTTGTGTTGACAAACTAATTATTGTGTAGTCATTGCTTAATTAAGCTATTACGGACTAACTATTAATACATTTGTTCAAAGATATGACACATGTTGATGACCTGTAAAAATATGTAACCTTGAACTATTTTTAAGTCAGTACCGTAAAACCTCTAAAAATTTTGTGCCCGACTTAATTTCTAACATTCTTCGAAGTACAATTACATGTATATCTTTAATTGATTCACTTAAGATGCCTACAGTAGACAGATTTATATATGTTTTTGACAATATTTTCTTATTTTATGTAAACACATTTTTTTTTCTTTTCCCAACAGCAAAAATGCACTACTCCTGGAAAAGAGTCTGGAAATGCTTATGTGAGAATGTTTCTCGACTTTCTACAGACAATTCATTGATCCTGCTCCCGTACATCTGCCAGACACAGAAATGTTTTACATTTTGTAACAAAATCAATAAAAATGCTAATTATTTGACATTTTGAATAAATTACTCAATTAATTATTAATAGATTTGCGTATGATTATTGATATAAACCACGGAGCTTGAAATTCCATCAAAAATCACTCTAAAGTCTGATTTAAAAAAATTCCATACATATAGATCTATACAAAATGTTTTCTATAGAATTTTTTTTAATCGGACTTTAGAGCGATTATTGAAACAGAAAATCAAAATTTTTTTCCAGTTTATTTTTTTTTTTTTTTTTTTTTTTTTGCTCATTTCTATTTTAAATTTTTTTTTAGATTGATGGATATTATACAGTACAGTACAGTACAGTATTGCATAAATAACAAGATTTTAATGACATAGGTCAAATCACCATACTTTAGGTACCCGTACAATTAATGTTTCACTGACCACGCAGACAATGGCCACAGACATTTGGGGTTTGGAGCTCAAAACGCCTTTAAAATCCAAATAAAATGCATATTTGTCAATCCCAGCACATGTACTGATCATATATATCAAAAAAACTTAATATAAGCCGTTTTGAAAAAAATTCATATTTCAACAACTATAATATTATAGTTGTTGAAATATGAAATTTTTTCAAAACGGCTTATATTAAGTTTTTTTGATATATATGATCAGTACATGTGCTGGGATTGACAAATATGCATTTTATTTGGATTTTAAAGGCGTTTTGAGCTCCAAACCCCAAATGTCTGTGACAATGGCGGCCCCGTTCTACGCCTTGAAGAACGCTGAAATACATTCTTAACAAAATAAGAAGAAATATCTATAAATATTCTAGATCTTTAGAAGTAATATTGTTACTGACCTTAGATCCTATTTGATTTCCGCACTGTCCAGCTTGAAGATGTACTATTTCTCTCATGTTTGTTCTTTATCGATGATTTTCTACGTCTTTATTCTTTTAAATCCTTGGTCCTTATAGTGAGAGAGCGCGCAATCGATATTAATGAGTAATGCCTCGTCCTTCACCCATTGGATAATCAACAACTTCTTCCCATTTTGCACTGTGTAGATAAATAAGAGCCTCTCATTATTCGCGGAACCACGAATATAAACGCGTGACTACCATAGTTGTTCAGTTGAAAATTCAAGTAGATTTTCTATTTTGAAATCGTGGGATTTCTTGTTTGTTTACATGTTGTCATGGAGTTTGTATGTATATCTGTGGTTGATATGCCTAAATTACAAGTTAGATATGTGATTTAAAAGCTTCCATGTATTAGTCACCTACTGTACCGGTTTAAAGACGTCTTCGGGAGTGTACAGTATACATTATATAGGCAAAATAAAACTGTTCAATAGATAGAATTTCTTTAAACTTGGCATGTTGTAAGGATATGATAACAGAAACATTTTAAGCGGTACAAAAATTGTGATTAGTCATAAAGAACTGATTTTTTTTAAGGAACCTTAAATATGGATAGATGGCAGTATGGAAATTATACACATGATGCCATCATTTTAATCTTGACCATAGGGAGTATGTTAAGAGCTGTCATACGGTACTTGCCAAACGTTGGCAACCTCATGATTCTAGTTTTTAGACTTTTTCACTATAAGTTCTTTATTTCTTAAAGTATTTACTTCAAACTTCAAATATAAGTTTCTGGTCATCAAACACATTATATGTGACAAGGTTTACATCTCTAGCACAAAAAATATCAGAATTACCTCCCTTGAACTTAGAATTTTCATAAAAGTGTTGTTTTTTATTAACTTCTTTATTTCTTAACGAATCTACTTCAAAACTTCATATACTCGTATATGTTTCTTATTATCACTCAAATCATTTGTGAGAAGGTTCAATACTCTTAAGCAAGACTATTTCCAGAATTATGTACCCCCTTGAACTTAGATTTTTGTTGTTGAGAAATTGATATATTTTACTCCAACTTCTTCATTCCTTATAGGAGTTACTTCAAACTCCCACATCATTATAATATGACAAGGTTTTATAAATTCAGCATCCATATTTCCAGAATTATCTCCTCCTTAAACTTTGAATTTTTCTTATTAATCATTAACTTTCATATTTCTTCATGGATTTACTTTAAATTCAAAATAAACATTCATTATCAACACCTACATTATGTATATATGCCTACAATGCCATTTTAGCAGTAAAAGCAGTCACTGCATTTATTTTGGAACTCGCACGAATATATAAATTAAGGGAAATAGAAAGTGGATTTAAATCTTTATTGGGACATATTATTATATGATGTCCCAGGTTATTTCCAAAACTGAAAATATCATTCTGTTTTATTTTAGGTTACATAGTCGGACATTAGATTCTAAATATATACAGTAAATCTATGCATCTCTTTTTTAAAATTGACACTTTATGTCTATCATGTTATCATGAACATATGTGTTTCTGCTATTTTTATGTAAGTTTGAATTTTAAACCCTTTGTAACCAGGTACGGATCATTGGATGGGGTAGTGAGGAGGGTTTAAGCCCCAATACCCCCTGGTCTTTCAAATAAGAGAAAAATAGTAATGTAGGGTACAAGATCCTTATTCATTGGAGCCTGGATCCCTGCTTAGCTTCCAGTCATAAAAGTAATGTCACCTAAAACACCAAACTCCTTACAGTGATTACCTCCCTTGGCAGAATTGTACTCACTGCCTTCACAGACATCACATGATCATGAAAGTCTCAAGACGTTTACAACGTTGAAATTCAAATCTAAATATCGACTGTTACACAGAAAATCTTACGTTATTTTTCTCTTTCTGTTTTATTTTTAACTTTTCGTACCTACGTCCGTTTAAATTTATCAAAAAAATATCAAAAGTATACAAAATAATGAAAAATTAATTCAAAAGCTAAAAAATATATAATATCTGAAATTCTGATATATCGTACCGTGGTGGCAGAGATCTATGAACTGATAAGGGGAGATCACTGCGTAGGAGATTGCTAAAACACTACATTCCTTGAGGTAATTTGTTGTACATAATATGTGTCAGAGCATACACTTTGGGTCATGAAGACACTTTCAATAAATTACCCTTGGTCACACACACAGAAAAAGCATATTCAAGCCTCTGCATGATACTGAGTAAACCAGTCCAGGAAAAGAGTCTGTTAATAGATCGACTGGTAAATTAGAAATAGCCCTTTGATTATGATGATTATGTACTACAGTGTAACTTCTGAATTCCGGAACTTCTAAAATCCGGAAACTTCTGAAATCCAAACATTTTTCAGGGTCCCGAAATTTCTCCTTCTGTTTTCTATGTAATCAAAGCCTCTGAATTATGGAACTTCTAAATTCTGAATTCCGAACGATTTTCTGGTAAAATTTGGGTTATATCAATTGAAATTTACTTCCAAAATCCAGAAATTAAACTAGAACTGTGTCCAAAGGACACGGATGCCCCCACTGACAACTTATATATGGTATATAGTGACAAAATCAACAAAGGGCCATAATTCTGTTAAATTTGGTCGCACAATAATTCCTTCCTTTACTACCATCTACACATTAAGGTTGTTCATCCCTGGAAGTTTAAGCAAAATCTGCCATCCGGTTTAAGAGGAGTTGCGTTCACAAAATTTCTATATGGTATATCGTGAAAAAATCAACAAAGGGCCATAATTCTGTTAAATTTGGTCGCAGCAAAAATTCCTTCCTTTACTTCTATCTACACATTAAGGTTGTTCATCCCTGGAAGTTTAAGCAAAATCTGCCATCCGGTTTAAGAGGAGTTGCGTTCACAAAAATTCTATATAGTATATAATGAAAAAATCAACAAAGGGCCATAATTCTTTTAAATCTGCCATCCGGTTTAAGAGGAGTAGCGTTCACAAGATTTCGGGATGTACATACTGATGGACGGACAAGTGCAACGCTATATGCCCCCCACTTTGTGGGGGCATAAAAAGGTGTGAAGGAATATTATACTTGTAATTGAAAACCTTTAAAATGTCAGTATCTTCCAATTAAAAGTACCCATTTATCTTGACACCTATTAGAATTACAACCTGTCAAGCATATCAAACACTTGTTTAAAGTGTGAAAATTAAGAAATTGAGAAAATAATGTGATGAAATGAAAATATACAGGTAAATAGCAGGTACTACATGTATATGAAATATACTAAAGGATAAATTGTGATAATTAACATTATGCTATTATATCAGCAAATTCAGTTATAGGTGATAATGAAATTTAAAATAGTACAATTCCTATAATTTTGCTATCTAATTAATTTAATCAGCTTCATATATTTTTATCATGTCTTACTATAAAACAGTTGATATAAAACAGTTGATACTTGTTCAGATAATTCCTAACTTCTGAATTCCGGAAACTTCCAAATTCCGAACTTTTTGGCTAGTCCCACAGGTGTTCGGTTTTCAGAAGTTACACTGTACCCATATCCAGAGCTATAGTGCTTAATTATTTACATTAAATATGGTCAGATTCCGTTAAGGAAAGGAGCAAAAAGTCCCTGGCAAGGTTTCATACCCACAGTGATGAGAACCTTGTGATTTGAAGTCGGCTATTCATAATAATTAAAACATTTCTTGTGGTTCTTTTAAATCACAGAGCTATAGTTATTATATCTGTAATCTTAATCTATGTTTAAATGTAACAAAAAATATATAGTCAAGTACCTCTTTTTTATTTTAATACATACAGTATTAACATTTCAACAAAAACTGTTTAGTTTGGCCATACACTAGTAATGAGTGTCCTTTGAAAGTATTGAGTTTGCAAAATCTAACACCTGAGTTCTCAAACAATGAAAGAAGAAAAGAACATCATTTATTCATGATAGCCATATCAAACTTGTAAGCAATGTCATTTTTTTTAACAAGTTGAAAATAAATAATACATTATTCTAACAGAAACAATACACAGTGGAATAACTAGAACATCAACTTATTATAAGACAAAGGTACAATTTTCTCCCAGGTATATTTATTCACACAGTTAAGTCTTTAGACATCATTTACCAAATGTAATGAAATAATGTTGTTGACAGTAGTTAACATCAATTAAACACCAGCATGATTCAAGCAAAAGTCTGATATTTTACATCTTTAACCCTTGACCTTTGGCCTGGTCTCATGCTTACTAAGACTTGCTTTTACTTCTATGTATTAAAATTTGTATTACCTAGAAAGACAGTGGGTGGGGTTGGGGGCTGCATTGATCATTATTAAAGTTAGGATGCAGCAACATTAAAATCATGATTCTTTTGATAATAAGAGATTAATACATACGGCAGAGTTGTGCCGGAAGGTGATAATCGGCCCACAAAATGAATAATGGCCCCCACAGGCTTCAGCCCGAGGGCATTATTCATTTCAGGGCCGATTATCACCTTCTGGCACAACTATGACGTGTATTAATGTCTTTAATACACTTGGTAGATTTAACAGTAGCATTTTTTTTCTACTAATAAATACTAAGTCTTTGACATTTCTTACCTTGAAATTCCTGTCTGCATTTCTACTGCAGACTTTACTTAACATTTCAGTAACTTCTACAGAGTTGTTGACATTTTGTGTGTTAAAAGTACACTACTGTAGGATCTAGAAACAAGTTTTATTTTCATTTTTTTTTCGGAATGAATTTGTCATATTATTCCTTCAAATTTCATTAGTAACAAAAATGTATTTGACAATGTACGAAATACGCTTAAGCTCTCATAATAAAATAAAGCGATTCGTGCTGATAACCTACTTCCACTTTTACAGTTAACTGTTTGATGACGTAAAATATGACGTCATTGTTTCAGTTTGTGCACGTGCACATGTTCTGCGGGCTGATAAACTAGTTCTTCGCCCCGGGCCGCAAACTCATAATAGGTCACGTGACACTCATAATCAGTTGAAATCATAGGCAATTTTGTTACATTATATAGTAACAAGTGTATTAATGCTTGTTAAGGATTAGGATCAAGATTAGGATCAAATTTAATAACTCAAATATTCTCCATAGCTTATCATCATAGAATTAATTTTTAATATAACTTTGATAAAATTGAATTAAAAAAAGCATGTGTATGAAATTTTTTCTTTTTGTTTTATATATACCATTTAATTCTAGTAAAATCAGGAGTTTTTCATAGTACATGTATATGAAAACGAACACAATTATAGAAAAACGTTTAGTTATTTTTATTCCTCTGTTCATTGACCATTTACACTCAGATGGCTATAATAATAATGCCACTTTAAGTTTATCATGGAAATAAGAAATCAGTGTAAATAGATAACTGTCATAAGGGTGTACAATTACAACAGGTGCAAAATATGTTGAATAACGTAAAGCACCAAAATCCAGATTATATCATCATTCGAGTCATGATTCAATACATTTCTTTGAATAATACAACATTTTTTCAATAAAGGTAAAAGAAAGACATTATAATCACAGCTCAACTACTATAACAGTTATAAACAAACTCAAAATTGATATTAAAAATGAAGGGGAATAACTCTAAAATTGTTATAAAATTGGAAGTGGAATAACTCTGATCTTATTCACATCTTGGAATACACAAACATACAAATTTCAGTTAACATATTTCTGACTGAACTTATGCGACTGTTCTTGTAAATAGTCCTGATGAATCTTTAGATGCCTCTGCAGAACTATCTTCTGAATGAATGTACGCTTACATACGAGACACTGATATGGTCGTAGATTCTCATGTATCCGCATATGAATGGTTAAATTATGTTTGAGTGAAAACGATTTCTCGCACTCGGGACACTGATAATCGCGTTTTCCTGTGTGCGACAGCATGTGACGCCCTAGCTTATGTCGTTCCATGAATCCCTTCTTACAAATTTCACATACGTGATTCTTTTTTGAAGAGTGTGTAAGCATGTGACGCCTCAGTTTACCGATTTCAGAAAATATTTTGTCGCAAATGTTACACTGGAGGCGATGTCTGTATGGGTTAGTGGCAGCAAACTCGTGATCGTCCATGTGGGAGATGAACTGTGACTTTTTATCAAACACCTGAAAAATTACAAGGTAAATACAGGTGATCTATAATAAAAAGCTGTTTTTCCCCCGAAAAAAAGTTGCACGGCAAGAATAAAGTGAAAACTAAACATTCAAGATCCAAGTTATATTTAAAATGTTATGTGCGGTTTAAGACTGATAAAAATTATATAAACCTAACATATAATAAACTTGTATAAACAATACACATCTTTACCTTGTATAAACCTTACATCATACATGTAATAACCTTGTATAATATACTTACTCTGTAACACATGTTACATACATATGGACCAATACTGTTGTGGATTCTCAAATGACACTTGTAGTTGTGTAGGAGTGTGAATGTGTCCTGACATATGGAGCATTTATATAACCTGAAACACAAGTTAATAGTATTTATACACTCAACTTGAATCTATACTTATTTATGTACTCAGCTTGGATGAATATTTATTTATTCACTCACTCAGCTTTGATGAATATTTATTTATTCACTCACTCAGCTTTGATGAATATTTATATATTCACTCACTCAGCTTTGATGAATATTTGTTTATTCAAAGTGAAAGAACTGTTTCAAAATAAAACTTAAATGAGTATCTGGTTATAGTCCCTATGTACTTACTGTAACCATTAACCTGCGTATTAAATTTTGATAATGGCTTTGCCCTGCTTTGACCATGCAAAGTCCAAGTGTTTCATTATCAAATAAATAAATCTGAGCTACCAACAGTAAACATAATATGCAGGCTAGTCTTGCTCAATACTGCTGGTAATGGCTAATTACTTTCGGTTCAAGCAGGTTAAGGGTCAAAGATCAGGGTGTCCGTTTGACCCTTGAAAGGACTCTTTGACCCTTCAAATTTCCAAAAGGCCTAATTTGACCCTCAGGATTTTAAATGGAGGGTCAAATTTTGTTAAAATAATGGGGATTTGGCCTTGTAGTCGGTAAAACTTAGTCAAAATGACTCTCAGGATTTCATGGCTAGTGAACACCCTGAAGATTCTGTAACACAATTTTTTCATGTTTTTTTCCATAAATATGATGCTCAAATTAAGATTTGTCAATATTGTTAGTTCTAATAAGCATTATTTATAAAGATATAACCCAATTTAACATTTCATGGAAATAAAGGGAGGTAATTAGAAATTTATTTTCTATAAATTCTAAGTCAAATTTTCCAATAAGAAATGAATGCATGCAATTGATTGATTAAATATAATGTGCACAAATATTTGCAGTACACATTTTACATATTCTTCGATGTTTGAAAATTGTTTTATTTGCATAATTATATACATATATAATTTTTTGCAAGTGTGGTATACACACAGTACACTTGCAAAATTAACTCTTTAAGGACATGACTGGTGACATGTCCGGGGTCCGTACTCGACAGCGCAAGCTGCATTTTGTGCCCGAAAGGGCGGATGGACCCTCATTAAGCTTTAACTACATACATACGTATACACACAGTAAAAAAAATTATATATGTCACCACTTTGTACTTCAAAATTAACTCTTTAAGGACATGACTGGTGACATGTCCAGGGTCCGTACTCGACAGCGCAAGCTGCATTTTGTGCCCGAAAGGGCGGATGGACCCTCATTAAGCTTTAACTTCATCATCATCATCGTATACACACAGTAACAATATCAATCACAAAACATACAGGATCTTTAAGAGTTGGCTAAATAACAGAATTATTACATCAACGCTATATTGTTTGTTATATCAAATTTGTAATGTCAAAAACTTTACACTGTGCTTTCACTGAGCTTTTGATCCTTGTGGACAAGTGAAGTCAGCAAAATGATGTCATAAGAACATTTTAACTAAATTTTGTTTCACAAAATAAAATAAGAACCACATGATGACATCTTGCCACTTTGTTTTCTTTTATGAATACGTTTTAAACTTATATATACATTTTAACTTTAAAGCTGCATGCTTCCAGATTTATTCTAATTTTCATGAAAATTATGAAAATGTATTTAAAGTTAAATATTGTGAAGTGAACAACAAAAACTTTACACATTGCAAACGGCACTTACAATCTATGTGAACTAACCAAATCCAGGTCAAATAATGAAAAAATAGCCCCAATCTGACTAAAGTTCAGATTTACTTATTTCTAATGCGTAGCACTATTTAGGAGCTGATTTCAAGTTGATTGAATAAGCTTTTGCTGTGTGAGTCATGCAGTAGAAATTTGGTGATAAAACATAAGTCATTAATCACACAAAACATTAAAATTATTTCTTGTTTCATAAATCTTTTTACTTTTCTTGAAATCTTAGTTCATTTTTTCAAGTTTGATTTTCTTGAAATATTTTTGCACATCTGGAGAGCATGCAGCTTTAAGCCATAAAACCATAATGCTTTTTAATATACTAGCTCAAACTACTGATCTCTCGAAACAAATTTGCACAGACCCTTCTAAGTATAAGCAAACAAAGTTTGACTGTAAAAAAATCTGTACTTACTTATTAGCAGAATGTTCAGCTATTTTATGTTTTTCAAGGTCGACAGGATTATTGCTTATGTGATCACATACATGACATTTAAAGGTAGACTTCATATCTTCATTGTGTTCAACACGGTGCTTGTATAAGTCCATGATTGACTTAAATTTAGCTTTACACACTGGACATATGTGTACCTGAAATAACAAATTTCTTTGTTTGTTTGATTGGGTTTTACATCACTCCAACACATTATAGGTCATATGGCAACATTCCAGCTTTACTGGTGGAGGAAAATCTTAGGTGTCCATCCATGCATTATTTCAGACCCGAACAGGCACCCGAGTAGAAGCACCGATGTTCCGTAAGCTAGCTTGATAGCTTCCTCACATGAAATAATCCAAATTCCCTGCTGGGATTCGAACCCAGTGGTGTCCTCACATGAAAATCCAAAGTCCCTGCTGAGATACGAACCCCCAGTGGTGAGGGACAAGTGGTTTGAAGTCAACAGTCTTAACCACTTGGCCATGTAAAATTGAAAGTCGTAATTCCCTGGAATAATCTTGATCACAAAAACTTGATTTAAGGCATATATCATATATTTTTTACTCAATGGCATCTTTATACAATGCATAGAATAATACTCAATGATATTTCAATGTGAAATACATGTATAGTCGACTACTGGTATTGAACTGTAGGTAAGGGTCACATTAAAAGAATCTGACTAAATTACAATCTCTTTCCTACTCTCTCATAGGTGTAAGGATAAACAATTTTACATTTTAATAAGTAACATATCGAAACATCTTATATAAATACCTTCTTTCGTTCAATCGTTATTTCTGGCTCATCAGACCCTTTTTTTAATATGTTTAAATTTACAAACTATAAAATGTTGGTACTTTGGGTTTCCCGCCCTTTTCCGAACCTTTCAAAGGGCCCAAAATCGCAAATTGGGGGGTTTGGGTTTTTCCCTTTATGGGAAAACAACCCTCTTGATTTAATTTTTCCCCCCTCATCTGCATTAATCATGGATAAACGATAACAAATTTTCAGAATCCCTTTCAAAGGAAAAGCTTCCCACTCTTTTTGGGTTTTTCCCCCATTTGAGTTTTCATTAAAAGCACAGTGTTTGAGGCCGGGCACCCGACCCCAAATTTTCCCCAACAGTATTATCGTCCCCGTTTTAGGATCGTGCTCGGGTTTCTAGTAAAAATGTTTTTTAAATACCTTTGTCCGTCTGGCTTTTAAATTACTAGTGCTTGGTTTCCCCCTAGACTTTTGATAGTGTTTTTCGAAAAAGAAATCAGAAAATAGAAAAGCTTGGGTCTGGGATTCAAACTAAAGAGGGAATGTAATTCTCTGAGCCGGCTATACTTGTGTTTACCTACAAAAAAATGACCAAAGAATACTGAAATACTTTGGAATTGAATTAAAGTTACATATATGTTTTTAAATACTATTATATAGAGGATATTTGTTTAGTTCAGTGTAAGATCGGAAACTTTTTCACCGAGTGAGCACCAAAAGGTATATTTCACGAGTGGCGCAGCCACGAGTGAAATATGAACTTTTGGTGTCACAAGGTGAAATATATTTCGATCTTACACTAAACTAAACAAATTTTCTTTTTATTACATGCAAAAAAACGTTTTAAAAAGACATTAAACCTAATACTGAATGAAAAACGCGCCAAATAATAATACAACGTGACGTCATTTACGACGTCACGTCATTAAGTTGGTTCCCAGTACTGTGCACGCTGGTATATTACTGAAACAACGTAAGGGGCTTAAATTCAAAACAGTGAAATTATCAAAGTGGTAATTTCACTGTTTTAAACAGTGAAATTACCAGTTTTATATCACTGATATATTTCTATAAACCACCGAAAAGCATGTAATAAAAAAATATTACCAACAGCCACTGCCTAGTGGGCCCATGCTTGACTTTTAATTTTGACTTTTATTTACTTCCAAAGTCATTCACATCATCAAGGAAGAACATTGAAGTAACAAATATAATTCAAATATCATATTTAACATTGTCAGTGAAGGTCATTTAAAATTCAAACATTTGACCTTTAAGGTAAATGTCAATTAAAGGTCAAAGTCATATAAGGGAAGATTCAACAGGGGATTTTTTTCCCCTTGTGTTCCCTTTAAAATGCAATTTAATTATCAAATTTTAGCTAGCTGGGGTGCTTTGGGTTTTAAAAAAAAATGTTTTTTTTGACACAAAAATATAAATTTCACATATAAAACTTTTCAAAATTTACCTGAGTTAAAGTTGGATTTGTTAAAAATTCGACGACTCCGGACGACAGATTTTAAAGATTTAAATTTTTGCTTCCCCGTAAAAATTTAAATCACTATACTTGTTTGGCCCCAATCTCTTATGATTTATGGAAACTGATTCCCCATGTAACAGATTTGGGGTAGAATAGTGAATGCCCGGTGAAAGGGAGGGCTCCATAAAAGTTGTTGATGTTGATTCCCCATATGGCGAGACTCTTGAATCAATAACAGATGACTCAAAGGCTATAGCTGAAGCTTCTGATGGTGTCTTAATATGGGTCAGCGGTGTAGACTGGGTCTCGTTTGTTAATGGAGTAGACTGTGTTACAACTGTAGCTTCTGAGACTGGTTCTAAATTTGTGACAGTTTCTGCAACAATCTCTGTAACCATGTCAGGGACAGATTCTACAGTTTCAACTGTTTGTGTTACTGTGTCTGGTGTAGAATCCATTTCTTCAAAAGTTGTTGTCCCTGTGCTTGGAGAGGTAACTGTAGTTTCTACAGTCCATGATGCAATTTCTTCGGGTAACTCCAATTTGCATGGTGACACCTGAATGAGATAACAAGGAAAAATTAAAATTTTGAATTAAACTCTGAGCTATGTGCAGTTATGGTCCTCCGCCGGGCACCAAATGTCACAGGGTGAGACAGATGTGCAGGATAAATCTGACACTGACCAAAATTTATCTCAGGCCACGGGCACCCTTAAAAAATTGTTTGTTTGCAGTAACGCGACCGACTGACGAAATTTGCCCCTACCCAAACTATTTTTTAGGGTCTGGCAAAGCAAAATTTTTTTTCTCGAAAATCCCAGTGTTTTTGTTTTTGCTGTAGTTTATTTTTTTGCATTAATTTATTAATTCAACATGGCAGCGCCTATGGAAAAGCTGTCTAACAAAGACATTACAAATGCTACATTGGGCATTGGTGATCTTGTTTTGCTGTTTAGTCTAAGGTAGTATATGTAGAGTTCATGCAAAAAAAAAAATTTAAAAAACAATCGACCTACCTACCCACACTGAAAATTCTGAGAAGCGTTACTGCAAACAAACAATTTTTTAAGGATGGCCTCAGACTCTTAACTTTAGACGTCAAAATATTTATTTAATAGACTTTGTCTAACTTATTATATACTGAGATGGAAATTCCTGATAATAAATTAATATATCAAGTATTTAAAACAATAGAAAATAGATGATATGACTAGGAGACGAGATGACTCAAACAGTGAAAATCATTTTCATTATTTTTCTTCAAAGATCTTCATATCTTTTTATAATTGTGTTTCACAGAAAACAAGTGATTATTAAATAAATTGGAATCAACCATGTACATAATCTGATATACAAATTATTACAACATTCTAACACGACCCGGATTTTCCCCTATTGAAGAAATGAAAGAGTGTGTTATTATGCAATAAAATCACCGTTGATGTTCTACATTAAGACATGTGACATAACCATTATACATGTGACATAACCACTAAAAATACGACAGGCTGAAATTAAGTACGAAAACAAATCAGGCGCAGTTTAGCTAAATATCAGATATGACAGCATTTATTGTTGATGTTGTGTTATAATCAAAATAATATGTTTTGCTTATTTCTGATATTTTTAGTCTTGATTAGTTCATCACAACTTTGAATATTTCATGTTTCTCTAATTTGTCACTGAGCATGATTATTTGCTAAGATTATTAACTAATAGGTTTTTATTAGAGGGCCGACTTGACCGAGTGAGAGTGGTTTCGTCGAACTACAGGTTCGGCGAACTGACCTTATATAATAAAACAGGTAGTGGTTTCGGCGAACTTAATTTATATAGTGCAAACAATATCTATTGTATAATGGGCACGCCAATTATCATGGTTTATCACACATTTTCATGCAATTAAAGACAAGATATTGAAAATTTAAACCTATTATTTATTCAAATTATTGTTTTCTTTAGTATAATAGTAATATTTACATAAAAGCATTACACAATACAAAAAAAGAACAGCATCATAGAAATATATACACGTATATGATACATAATAAAAAACGAATAATGATTAAAAATGTATAACAAAATATTGATGATAAAAAAACCTTTACTGTCGGAGTTATCTCTCCAACCAGTATATATGAACCATGTCCACTTTGCCTTTAATTACAATATAACATAAGATCGACGAAACCACTTTCGCACCTCTTCATAAATTAAGTTCGCCGAACCGGTAGTTCGATGAAACCACCATAATTCACTTGACCTGTGCCGAGATGGTATAGGACCGTGTTGACCGACAAACCGATAATCATTTTGATTACATTTGATTTTGTATCGACATATCGTATACTGATAAACATTGTTTTCAACTCAAAGAGACACGGAGTTAAAAGTTTTAATAAATCTTAATGTCAAACTCTTCAAAGCATGCTAATTTCTGTCCCTGTCAACAAATATTTTTAACAAAATAGACTTTATAACACAATGTTTACTCACCTTTTCCATTTTTGTAAATGCAAATGGCGGAACAAATGGAGACAAATGGCGTGGCTTAAACTACTAATTTCCGATATACGGTACGGAATAATTGAAATGGCTTTTGTTTTTGTTGTTGTTGTTTGTATAGCAAATATAACCGGATTTAGAATTCAGCAAAATATCTTTTTTAATAGCTGATTATATTTACTTGTATTGGAAAACTAAACAAAAGCGATCAGCGATAATATGTGACAATTGCAGTAATTAAGCAGGTGTATTGAGCCAATTTGAGGGGGGTGATTGGACAGTTTAAAGCTACTGTGTAGCAGACGAGACAAAAATATTTAATTCAACCAAAAAATCATTCAACTTGGGACTTTAAATACCTTTTATTTTGTTCAACCGAAAATCTCGTTCAATATGCGATAGCAATTTAAATCCTATAACATTTCACTCAAATTGCTTTAAAAGTGTTAGAGAAATAGCCGGACAAACTTAAATATAAAATTTTAAAGGGTCATTACTCTGACAAAGATCATTGAACTGGAAAATGCAGACAATTTAAACATCTACATTTGAAAGTGATCATTCCTTCAAAGCCTATATATATGACTGAAATACTGTTGGGAAAAGGCGTTTTAATGAAACAAACAAACAAACAAACAAACAAAAAAATCCTTTAAGTTTTGGATAATGTTAAATCAGACTGGAATAGAGGAGTAGTCCGGACACGTTTTGTGACGGACAGACAGACGTGCGCCTGAAATGGATAAAGGGGCCATTTTTTTCTTTCTTCTGTAATAAAGGGCCATCCCTTATTCTGTTGTTACGGAATGATTTCTATTGTTCTTTATTTGTGCTGCTTAATTACAGCTAGATGGCCCCTATCCCTATCCACTGACGGACGGACGGGCAGAAAGAGTCGATGGAGAAGTGAACCCTATATATTTCTTTTCCTTGTGACAGGCGATACAAAAATACATGGTTAGCAGTTTACAATTAATGTAACTCTGAGAAATCGGAGGTATTGGATTGTAAAATTCGAGGGTCATACACCCTTAAAGCTTTATCACAAGAATATCATGCTCTACAGTATCAAAAGTTTTTTAATAGTATGTCTAATACCATTATTTGAGCAAGATGACCGTCATCCATATATGACCTGATTTGATCTTTCAGTGGAATACAAATTTTGGCTATATCAAGACTGGTATTAACAAAGGAAGACATGAACAGTTATTCTCAACAAGATAATATATCATCTTCATAAAAATCTTTGTCAAAACAATATAAATTAAAACTTGCTAAATCCCCTCTTGTCATTTTTTTTTTCAAAAAAAGAGGAGCTATATTAACCCATTACTTCATGGGCATTTTATGAAAAATGGCTGTTTTCATTGAAAAGTCTCCCGTTACAAGTTCAAATTGCTATAATACTATAAAAACTGCTTGAACACTAATCAAACTTGGCACAAATGTTGACTGGACCATTGCCCTTGCAACAACATGCTCAGGCTTAAATTTTCTGTTACCATGGCAACGAGGGGACATCTCAAAATTGCCAAAAATCACAATTTTGCGTTGATTTTTTCCATCAAAATTGATTTCAAAGTGCTGCAACTTCTCAATGGATTGAGATAGAGTCAAATGCTTTTCAGCGTTGGTTACACGTTACCTTATGATCAATCTGGGGTCATTTATAGCCTCTCACAAGTCCAAAATTTTCTTGGCGATGAGGGGGACTCCGCCCCCTTCAAACCCCCCAAACAGAAGGGGGCACATCCCCCTTCTGGCAACCCCCTGATGTATCTTTTGGTCGGGGGACCACGCCGAAAAGTGGTCACTTTTTTAACAACATTTCTCAAACAAAAACAAGTGTTGGGGGCCTAAATAAGGCATTTTTCCAACATTTGAGTCAACAAAAAGGGGGGGGGGGGGGGTGAAAAAGGCGTTAAAAGGCGTGTATATCACGTAATGGGTTAACAGATTTTCAGATGACCTTACTTTTAACATACCGGTACCGTTGGCCTAGTGGTTAAGGCGTCCGCCTTCAGATAGGGAGGTCTGAGGTTCGAGCCCCACGGGAGCGTTAATTTGAGGATGAATGTTTCTCATGGGTCTTGTTCTGAAATGGCCGCTTCGTGAGCGGCGAGGTAGTTAAAATGAATGGTTACCGATTTCTATCCGCCTGGCGCCTGGCATAGTGGTAGGAGTTGGGAGGTATATGGTATGCAAGCAAAAGGTGTCTCATAAGTCAGAAATGGCTGGCCCTTTCAGTAGGGGTGACACTATAATAAACAAGACCTTTACCTTTTACAGATACTCGTACCAAAACAATGGCTGAAATAATGGTGTAACATATCTGACATGTCATCGGAACCAGTAGATTTGTGGGAACAAGCGAGAAGTTCTATGATTTGAATCTTTATTTTCTAAAACCTTCTAATAGTAAGAGGAATATTTTTGATTAATATTTTTTTTAAATAAATATCTAAAAACATCTGTTAGAAATATCATTATATGATAGTAGTATTTTTACAACTACAAATGTATATATTATAGCACTGAATCATGTTTCAGAATAGTAATAAATAGATGACATCGATCTATACCAAGTCCTTCTCCATGTTGATTCCCTTCATTATGGGTAACTATTTAAAATTCATAACTATTTGTTGAGGAAGATTGTTGTAGGGGTACAGCATCGGACTCCTTAATATGAGATCGTGGATTTGGATTCAAAAAATGACGAGATTCTCTTTCCACTTCCACAATCCACAATTTATTGCTGTTTTAAAAGTGATTACCTCACCCGGGAAAGCAGTCTTCTGGCGTGAGTTATTTCGCATGCATAGGTTTTCAAGAGGGGAATTAACATATGCGCATTACAGCTTAAACGAAACGAAGTAAATTATCATCCTAATTTTCAAGTCAAGTTAAGTAAATTTTATTTATAAGTCGGATACATCAACAATAAACATAAGCTCTGGTGAGCTTTTTACACTGACTAATGTAATATAATTACACATGTTTAAAGTATGATAAATGAAGAAAATGGTTAAAATAATATAATTATTTCTGAAATATGATCTCCCTAATTTCCTATTTGGAAAGATCCATCGGAAGCATAAAAATCAGCAAAATTACATGAAAATTGCAGACTCAGATTGATTGAGTCTCTACATGAGGGATACTGAAAAAGTGCAGGATCCCTCACGCCCCTTGTACAAGCCTGAGCGGTACTCAATTCTCAACACTTTCAAAGTGCCGAACTCAATGACACCGAAGGATCAGACAAATAAAACAACACTGAAGTGAATTACGGGGCAACTTGTTACAAATATCTGGAGGAAAAGTGATCCCTGAGAAGCATTAAAAAACAGCAAAATTACATGAAAATTGCAGACACAAGTCGACCCCTCGAGGGAAATAAGACATGTTTGATACAGCAGGGCATTCCTATTTGACAGACCCTGGATTCCATAATGCACAATTGAAACTACCCTCAGTCCATTTCGTTTTCAAACATGTACTGCATGGTCATTGTCTCAACACATGATATCTTTCGTCTTTTTATTTCGCTTTTTGTTTCGTCTAAGGATAATATTTAGCGGTGTTTCACTTAGTATCCGGAATGTTTCGTACTCGTAATTTTAGCCAAGATGTATGACCTTGACCTGTCAAAAGAAAGTAAACCTATCACGGAAAAGCCGCATTTCATAATTTAACTTACAATGACAGAGAAACTACCATATTTTACTGAGGGAGAAGTGGTAAAAGGTTTTGGTAGAGGAAGTAAGGATCTTGGTATTCCTACAGGTAAACATTTTAATATATAATTTATAGATTTACAAATAAAATAATTTCTTTGGGTCTAGAAACACGAGAAAATAGATTGAACTTGACCTAGATCTACTTCTTGTACGTCTTGGTTAATGTAGAAAATAACAAGACGATTTTGTCTGTTTTCAGCAACATTCACATTTCTTGTTGTTGTTGATTTTGATTATATCAGATTAAATATTTTTTCATTAAATAAAGATTGTTATTTATCGGCTATTTCAATATGCATCCACAGGGACTACTGTACTGGTCGGGAACCATCAACCGGACACTTTTTGAACATTTTTCCATACAGATTTCATAATTTTTAACATAGAGACCTAAAAATTTGACACAGTTCAGCTAGGTTCTTCCCCTAACTTACAAACTAGTTTGTTTATTTCTGAATGTATTGACACTTATATCTGAGGCCCGTCAAGGAGAATATCTAAATTACCGATATTGTACATAGTACAGTACCATGTGTCCGGACAGATATGTAATGACATTGATTTAATTAAGATTAAAGCTTAAGTGTTTGAATTTTAAACTGCTTTTAGCATGATAAACAATATATCAGCAATAATTGCTGAAGTTTTGGGTATTCTATTGTTTATTCTGCCATTGATTATAGCTAGTATAAGAGGTCAGGCATTTTTTTCAAATTTCCAACATCAATGTTCTTGAAATTGACATTAAAATATTACCAGTTATGGAGGTTGAATAAATTTATTTACTTAATTATAGAAGAAACATGCATTAATTGTTGGTAAAAAAGTGACTGTCATCCACTGAACAAAGAAAATACAAAATTAAGCATTTTCTGGGCCGTCCGGGTTTGATGGTTGTCCGGTTTTGGTGGTCTCCAACCAGTAGGCACGTTGGGTGATAGTAAACAAAAGTAAAAACTAAAAAAAAAAAAAAAAAAAAAAAAAAAAAAAAAAATACCCCATATATAATATATAGTCTATATAATATGAAATTAGGCAAAGCCTATGGACGGGGAAGTCGTTAAAAATTCCTTTCATTCTTTCCGTTTTAAAGGTGTCATTCGGTATTACATGTACCGCTTCCGTTTTCATTCGGAACACTCGGCGATTATCATTTATCCGAAAAGTGGAGATTTGTTCCGTTATCGGAATACCCCGCCATTTATCATTGAGTTACATTGTAAATGCGGCGCCCGACTAGAACTGACACTGAAAATTTCTTTTGATAGGTATAGAATTTTATATATTTTTTAATTGTTTTTTATGTGATTTTCTTTTAAATATACACGTCAGGGCTCTCAGTAGGGTCAGAATTTCACGAGTCAAAGACTCTTTAGCCAAAATTTTCATGAGTCAAATCATTTCTTTCTAGTGTCATTTGACTTCATGAATCATTTTTATATTACAAAAATGACTGTATTGGAGGTCATTTTTGAAATTCCAAAGTCTAAATTGACAGAAAAAAATGCCTAATTATAAATGTCTATATACCCCCCCCCCCTCCTCCACCTTAAAAAAAAAAAAAAAAAAAAAAAAAAAAAAAATGAATTGCTGTGAAAGAATAAAATAAGCAGCAGTTTTTTTATTAAATTAAATGTATAAAATATAAAAAAAATATCTTTACTTGTATGCTATATCATATTAATTTTAAATACCAAAATGTACCTGAGAATATTTAATGGAAAAAGAAATAACAAATGCGCAGGTACTCCAAGTTAATCAAAGACGTATTATAAACCTTTAAAAGCAATCAATAATTGACACTTCAAGTATGTAATTCTTATCAGTTGTGTAGAGCTATTTTTAGCACTGTCAAATTGCAGCCACTGAATTGTCGTGCCTCAGTGCACAGGGTATAAACAATTGCTGTGTGTAAAGCATTTTATACACCGCTTATACTGCCTGTTGACATTTTTAATGAGTGAGATTTGGACATTAGCATGATTTGATAGGTAATTAGGGGTGGATTAAAGGTAATTATTATTGCATAGCTGAAAATCCCATGTGGCAAATTGACTCTTGAGCAGATTTTATCACGTGTCAAATTTGTGCATTTCCTGATTTTCACGAGTCAAAACCCGGATCCCCGTGTCAATCGAGAGCCCTGCACGTGTAGTCTATAGCCGGGCAAGCCAAAGCCCGGACCCGCTTCGCGGGCCCGGTCTTTGACTTCCCCGTATTATAATTATATGGGGTAATTTCTTTTTTTTTTTTTTTTTAGTTTTTACTTTTGTTTACTATCACCCCAACGTGCCTAGTCCCTATGTATGCATCGTAAAAAAACAAAAAAATTAAAATTTGTAATTTACGGCAAAATTTACCGTTGCTGATGTAAATTTTTGAAGGGACTGGTTTTTTAACAAATTTCTTTGCGTCACCGGGAACTTATTATCAAACAGCTCATTAATAGTTTTAGCTTCTTGAAATTTTATTTGAACATGAGAACTGACGGTAATGGAATATATCTCGGACAACTTGACCGAGGACTGACAGATTTTCACACAGACTGCACCCTATAAACAACCTGTTAAACCGTTATCACACACGCTGATTGATGGCCGCTGTGTTAATTGATTAATCATGGAGGCCTATTCTGCAAGTGCTATACAAAGTTGTAAACAGTGATCTGAAAAAACAAGCTGTGCTGACTTTTATGGCACAGCGGTGAGACTAACTTGGAGATTAAGTAACAGCGGGAGTGCGGTGTTTAAAGTGCCTAGGGAAAGGCCTGCGTACATGACATGAACGCTGAAGACAGACCCGTAGGGAATGTCCACCAATAATTATTCATTCATCGAACATGCCATGAAGTAAAAATAAGCATACTGTGATAAAAGTATGTATAAGCTGTTGATAAGCCAAGAATGGACATTTAAAAAACTTATTACGAACATAAACTACCTAAAAGTTTCCGACATGTAAAAAATTCTGACATATTGCCAAAATGTTTGACCACGTGATTACGTGATTGACCATTACGGGTTAATTTTCGTGGACGGTTAAGAAAACAGTACCAATGTGCTTCCAACTTTTTATAAATTACTTTTTTAAAGATATTGAAAAAGGTGATTTACTGACTAGTTATGTATTCAATATAATTTTATTTAAGTACTAAAAGTTAAAAAACAAAAAAAACAAAACATTATCTTGAATTAAAAATATTGAAATCATGTCAACAAAGATGTTCTAAATATAGTACACGACCCTTCTCTAAACTGTTCCTGTGAATTACGTCATACGAGGTCTCGCTTAGCTCCTAAATGTAATGGCTGACTGTAGTCAGCATAATTGATGTTTCACAGTTAAATAGGCAATTTTAATGACGGTATTAATATTTTGATACTTTAAATGGTATAGAACGATATTTAAATAATTGTTTTCTCGCAAAGTGCACTATTGTTTATTGGGACAAGGGAATTTGCAAATGAAAAATAAGGTTAAATCAACATAATTATGTTATTCTGGTTAGGTCACATAACGGATCTAATCAAAAACTTTAATGCCGCATCAGATGAAAAACAAAAATGTTAAAAAGCAGCTTATACAGTTTTGGAAGCATGAACTACTGGTGTGGGTACTGTAGGGGTGGTAACGGTGCCTGGACTCTATATTGGGGTTATTTGTGACCAAAATAGGTCCAGACCAAGAAAACAGGTGACAATCCTTATATATAGACAAGGGTTCCAACTCCAAAAAACGCAATTTTTGCCCTTAGCTCAATGAGAAGCTAATTACTTTTCCTTTTTTCAAGCAAATTTTATATTTTTTATGTGTACATGTAGCATACTAATGGTACTTTCAATAAATAATAGCAACTTGTCCCTTTTACCATGCATATAGTAACCTGCCAAACACAAATCTAGCCGAAAACGACTTTCTTGCTTAGTCCACCGAGAAGTTGCAACATTGTACACAACGTGATTTATCCCGTATAAAACAATAGGATTTCAAAATCAATTGATTAATGCTAGAATTATTTATTACATTAAAAGATTTGGAGTTTACTTTTAGACAGAAGGATCTTACTCAGGCATAGAAGCGACCAAGTGTGATTTGTTTTTCGTAAAATCCAAGAGAGCCAAATACAGATATTAATAGGTCAACACACTGTTGTACGAAAAATAAATGTCTTTTACAAATTGAACTATTCAGTGAAGCATTACAATCTAATTAATGTCTTCATTGACATTCAGGATCACTCTTGAATTATTAATTATGATTAAGATTTTCTTTATGCCAGATCATGTTTAGGGATAAGATACATGTACATGCAAAATATGTACAGGGATAACTTAACGACTTATTTTGAGGCTTGGATTGGGGATTGGATTTCAGATTTGAAAGTGTTTCTACAAACTTATAGCTTCCTACGATAATACTGATTAAACCAGTACTGTTGGCCTAGTGGTTAAGACGTCCACCTTCGGTGCGAAGGTCAAAGGTTCGAGCCCCATGGGCAGCGTAAATTAAAGATTGAATGTTTCTTGTGGGACTTGTTCGGAAATGGCCACGTAGTCAGCCGCAAGGTAGTTAAAGTGAATGATTACCGATTTCTATCCACCTGGTGCCTGACATAGTTGTAGGAGTTGGGAGGAACATGGTACATGTATGCAAGCAAAAGGCATCTCATAAGTTAGGAATGGCTGGCCCTTTCAGTAGGGGTGAAACTATAATAAACAAGACCTTTACCTTTTATAGATTCTGTGTAAATGAATTACTTGTTTTCATTATTATCTTTAAAAATGCAAATACCCCATGGAAATATTAATGTCTTTGTCAGTATTTGATACTTCATTTGCTATTTCTATAATGGTTCTTTGTTGAAATGAGTTTACATAAAATGCCTTTAGAGTATAGTTTACCTGTAGTACTATATTTTCAAATGTAATATCATACAAGTCTATCATTGTGTCTTTTAAATATCTGAAGCATAAAATAGGTGATACATGACTGTTTTTACTTTGTTATGATATTTTTTTCTTGTAAGATACCAGTACATTTATAATA